AGAACACGCCTGTAAAAAGAGCATAGGGCGTACAAATGGGCCCATTTGTTTGTTCCAAAAGGCCCATTTTCTAAGTGGACACTAATTAACATGTTTCTGTTACACGCAGCGTTTTTATTATAGAATTTAACCGAGCCAAAGATCAATAGAAACCGAACCGAACGTTCAGTTAATTCTGCTACTATCACAAATTGGAATCAATTACAAATCTTTTATGCCGAATTCTGAGCCGAACCGAACCGAACCGAACTAGGCCAATTTGTCCGAATCAATCAACGACAAGTCGCATGAAATGCATATATGTGAGAAATGTTCATAACAATTCCATACACCGGTTTATAATCCGGTTTAGACCACAAAAGCTACCTTAGAATAAGAAGTCTACAGAAACCAAAAGACAAGAAAAAGCAGTTAATCTCAACATTGTCCGCTGCAATATATTATGATTGGTAATAAAAAAAGCTCACTACAAGAAACGGTTTCTTGATTTCTTCACCATTCTAGTCTTGCTAACCAGTGAAACCAGTGATTTCTTCTGAGCAAGCTCTCTTACTTGCAACATAATTTGACTAGGAATGGCCATTGACCCGTGTTTCTTAAGACTTCCCTGCAAAATCAATAACCATTCACCGGTTTAGACTTAAACCAAACTCAGCTTCTGTTTTAAATTAAAAAAACATGTGGAAGTAGTAACCATTCTGTCTGAATGAGTATGAGCAAAGCTTGCCCTGAGTAAATTTCGCCATTTGTCCTGTAAGAAAAAGACAAGTTGTAGTTTAAGAAACAAAAATTTACAAAGAGGAACAAGACTACTGACTTTAATAGTAAAGTTGAAACAAACCTTGATATCCACTGGGCTACGATGCGAGTATGATGGAAATGAAAGCCTTTTGATCACAGACCACTTTCCTACTCCGTACTTGGAAACTCCTTCGACTAGTTTTTTAACTTCAGAGAGAGTCCATGATCGATGATGCTTCCTTCTAAATGCATTTTGCGTGATTCGTAGACCAACATGATTATTATTATCAACACTATCATCTGAACTGTCTCCAGATGAGTCTAAGTGCTCTGGCTCCATCATGTCTTGATCCACCTCAGTTAGAATAAGGTTCAAGTGGTCCTTGTCATCCTGATAATCAAATTAGCTAAAGCAATGAGCAACTGTATCATACCAGGAATCAAATCATCCGGTAGATCATAAGACAAAGTCTAAATACCATCTTCTACTAAAAAACTTGAAGTAAATGAGACCATTTTTATCAAAGTTAAGGGATTATGATTGACAAAATTCTCTCTACCTCACTAGATTATCTAGTTGCTGAAACTATAAAAATGACAACGTGATCTTACTTCTTTCTTGGCAGGCCCAGAGGCAGATTTGACACCTGAAACTCGGTTCAGGTCATTGTTCAACAGAGACGGGACTAAGTTCAGGTCGCTCTCTTCGGGCATAGCATCCATCTCCCATGGAATGGAAGGAAAATCCTACAATATGTTCAGATAATCTGCGTTATCCTCAATTACCTTTACAGCACCAAACACAGAATTAAAAGATCAAATCCTGTTTATTCCTTTTTTCAGTGTGTAACCACTAGGCATAAGTCTAGCACAGCCAAGGTAAGTGGTAAGATTTTGACAGATCATATGAAAGGTATGGGGTTAATAAAGATATTGAAGGGCATGAGGAACAATGAGAAATACCCCAAGAGCTGTCATGTTTTCTCTCGGACGGCTTCTCCTGACATGAGACACATAGGGAACCTGAATTCTGGAACCCGCAAGAGATACCATCCTGGTGACAACAACTCTCCCTCCTGAAGAAATGGCTTGACTTGACTTCTGATCTTTTGAAGGGATCACTGACTCCTCACTTTGCTGTTTTTCATCGGTTTTTGAAATTTCTTCAATAAATCTCCTTGTAGGCTTCCTTGCTCTTTTCACTGGCCTATGCTCACCTTCAAAATCTTCATTTCCAGAATAATGGTCCACAAAAGTTTCAACAGGACTATTCACACAATCATTTGAATGCTCCTTTATGCAATCAGGACTAGATGGTGTATCTTTGCAGCTAGCACGTCTTTCTTCATCAACTGTATTCTTGCTATCATTATAGTTATCTTGACCTCCACCAACCAGTTTATTATCTACAATAGTCGGGCTAGTCGTTATAACACCACATGAATTGATCAATCCCATTGTGATCCTCCCCTTGAGCCATTGTTTGTCTTTGACAGTAGTTTCACGACCAAACGTGGCTCTGAATGTTTCTTGCAATTCTTTAATTGAAAGATTATCTAAGGACATATCACCACTTACTCCAAAAGAATCAGGTTTTGAGGCAGCAGTTGACAATGAAGCTTCTTTAGGACTACATGTAGCATTTGAATATGGTGACACATCCATAGATTGATTCATACTGCATCCATTTGATGAATAACAAATAGGTTCCTGCAGCAAAAATTCGGAAAGGAATTGTTCTTCATTCCCATACAACTCATTAGAACTCTGAAACTTGGTATCCGGAAGAGTAAATCCATGGAACAGCTCCTCTTTAAACTGCAAAAGTTTGGAGTAAATCCATGGATTAAACAGCCATGTGACCCCAAATAGTAATCTTAGGATAAACATTATTATGAAGTTCTATTTCTAGAAATTTGAAGAAAGAGGACTGACCTCAAGTGGAGAAATTAATTTTTCTGTGTAAGCTTCCGCAGTTTCCGACTGGAATAAGCCTGGATTCAATAGCTAAGTTGGACAAGGAAATTTATCGCCAAGAGGAACGAATGATTGCATGAGAGCTACAGACACAAACACATAATGGCCACACGAATGACCTGTGTAGGACCTCAGACAATACAAGTAACCCAATAAAACACCCTCTTGTGCAGTCCTAAGGAATTCAAGCCATCTTTCCATTTATGTAATTAGTGTTCCCTATAACAATATTATAGGCAGACTAGACGAATTAAACTAGCAACAGCTCTAAAAGGAATGATACAACATGTATCATATGCTTAGAATGATTGGGACCAAACCTTCTAAACTTTCTAGCCGCAGGAACTGAGAAGGTGACCCTTCATCGGGAATGTACCCCTCAGTTTGTCCAGGATCTGGTAGGATAGGCATATCATTCTCCTTGTTCTCAAGCAAATCCTCGACCTCCAATATTTCTTCATCGGTTGCAGGAACTAATCTCCCATCTTTTGCAACCTAACGCATTTACATAACCAACTTCAAATATGATACCGTAAGGCTAAAACTTGTAATCATGTAGTCAGAATTCTCAGTTCCAGGAATAGCAAAAACATTATGTTTCACCGTTCTATAACTCCGAGATAACGGACATTGAGAAGAATTCATTTATAAACATACCCGAACAAGCTTGTACAGGACAGGATTTCCAATTTGATTTCTCGTAGAAAGTGATGCACCTCTTGTCTCAACACTAATGTCTTGAAACATCTCTCCATAGTCTTCCACATTACCAAACATTGCTCCCATAGATTACTCTACCAAATGCAACTCCAAACGTACAAACTAAAATCACAATAAAAAGGGAATAAGCTACTAAAGTTACTCTGCTCAATATATTTTTCAAGCAAACAAAAAGCTCTCTCTTACACATCATTACACAAAATTGTAGTTCACCCCAAGAAGTTTCAATATATACTCAGTACAAAAGGATTATCTTCCTGAAATTCGACAAGAGAGTCTCTAATTTTCAAAAAGGTAGAAACTTTAAAGAGGGAAACAGCAATAGTACAACTTCAAAAAAAAAAAAGGTTTCAACTTTGAGCTAGCCTTGTCCAAATTCCAATGGAATTTGCATGTTGTTGTCCTCAAATTCAACTTTTTAGCAGATTCTACTAAGTGAAACAACCCAAATACTGACTTTTTTCAGGCTGGTATGAAAAAGTAACGAGAACAGCATAAAAACCCAGTAAATAGTACGGACGAGATTTACCAGAGCAACAACGGAGAAAGTTTTAAACTTTCCAGTGAGCTCGAGTCGTCGGAGACTGAGTCATGTATTCATTGAGCGGAATCGAGGAGAAGAAGCTTCTTCACTAAGCAAAAAAGTTTGGAAATTTAGAAA